CTTCCAGCCCGTCTGTAGTGCTGATCAGATTATTACAAGAAGGCCCATATGCACCAAGTGACTAATGAATTGGACTTTCCCCGGGGCTAGCATGGTTTTTGTCAGAGAAGCTTCTTAAATTAACCTAAATTGATTTCTAACAAAGGATGGTGCAGCAGAGGGTAGGGGCTGGGACTTTCCCCAGAGCCCCTCCTGCCCAGGACTGTGCATCACTGGTGCAGTCCCTGTCTCCTACACTGGGCCATCGGGGTGCTGCCCGGGACTCGAGGCGCATGGCACAGGCCCCTGCCCCCTTTCAGCTGGAAGGGAGAAGGATCCCTGGCTTCTCAGTTTTTTAAACACTTCAGAATGTGAATAAATTAAAAATTTGCTTTTCGGGTGTTTTTTTAACTGATTCTCCCAGGATGTTTTATTAACAAGAGAAGCTAAAAGAAATACTGTATGGGTTCAAGGTGACAGGACTAAAGGTAGAGAAATTCTCATTTTCTTAAACAGGACTAAAAAACGTAAAAGATAATCGCGGAAATGGGGCAGTTTTTCATCCACCGGTGGTCGCCCTCTCACCTCGAACACTGCCACGTGTGCCCGGGGCATCCCTAACCACTGCTGGGTTTCTTTTCTTTCATTTTTAATGCACTTTTGTTACTTCTTAACTTAGTCTCATATTATAGATGTAAATTTGTACTTGTTTAAATTTTTATTTAACATAACATGAGCCTTTTCCAATGTCATTAAATATTTTTGTAGCTAACTTCCATCCAGTGGTGGTATTGTAATTTACATAACCCTTCCCTTATTGTCGGAAGTTACTTAGTTTTTACAAACGGTTCCATTTTATAAACCGTGCTTCTCCCTCTCCCTCTCCCTTCCATTCTCTGTCAAATCAATTTAAAAAAACATATTAAAATGGTGGACACCTGTCACATATTTACATATGGTCGTATTTCTTTGAGCCCGAATACTCCTGCATCCCCTCCATCCCCAAGCTAAATGTGTAAACATCCAACTACCAGCATTTTAAATATTTAACAATTGAATAATTTCTTACCAACCACATGTAGACGAGCACCTTGTCCTAGAGCATCTGCAGAAGAGGAATGTGGCGTTTATTTGAGAAAGAGGAGGAAATTTTTAGCACTTTGTTTGTATGTGTTTTCTTATATGTAGAGTGTCCCCAAAAAATGTATATATACACTTTGAATAATTATAAAGGCAGTGTTTATTAAAATACATTTAATTTTCAAAATTAAGCTATCAGCTGTTAAAGTATGTATACATTTTTTGGGACACTCTGTATTTAACCCCCAGGGCAACGATGTAACTGGTAGAATCATAAATTTTTATATAGCTTGTTTCTCAGTTCTTCCTAGCCCTCTTAATAATTGTAATCCAGGGTACTAGTATTGGTGTAACTTCAGGAGCTTGATCGTATTGCTACGTTGTTAAGTCTGACTACAGTATTACACATTGCTACAGTATTGATTATTTCTATAGTATTAAGTATTGGTACAGTATTAAGTGTTGTTTTGTACTAAGTACCTGCATCAGTACAAAGTGGAACAATCATTTGCTAATGATGGAGTCACAGCTGCTGCCTTGAGCATCAAATCTCTCTGTCTGGACTAAATACAGACCAGATAGTCTGTGCTGCTGTGTTAATGTGAAAGGTGGCCTGGCACCTTCCTGAGAGGGGTTGTCACCTCGTAGATATTCAGGAAGATAAAGTTGAAACTGACACTGTTGACTATCTCACCAGCACCATGTTTGTTTCCACCAGTTCTCTCTCTGGACATGTTCCTTTAAGCTAATAGGAGTAAGATGCTTTAGATGCAGTAAGTCCTAGGAATACAGTGTATGGCTAGGTCCTCAGTGGAAGGAATTGTTCTGGTCCGTTTCCATTTCTACTTTTGTCACAGTCTGGCAGAAGAGGCACTTGCTTGTAGGTGGAGGTCCAGCACTGACCTGTGCATGTCATTTAATCTCTGGCCTTGGTGTCTTCATTTTCTAGGGAGGTCCACACTCCCCAGACACATGCCCCAGAATTGCCTTCCAAGGCTTTGCTTTGACATGTTCCAACCCACTGGGCCTCGCAGCCCAGGGTGCATCATGGATTTAAGCAAGCTCTTGAGCCACACGCTGTTTGACACAGACACAGTGGAGTCTGTCTTGTGGGCTTGAATTTTGTTGTCACATTAACTAGGTTCGAGGAACTGGAGTCAGTGAGAATGGCTCAAGTTGGGGACAGAATGGAATTTGTGTGTAGTTGGCATGCAGCTCCACTTGCAGCCTGCGTTCGTGGGCAGAGAGGGAACCTTGAGCACCAAAGCGTGGCGGTTGGCAGAAGACTCCAACTGGGAGTTTGGGAGCAGCCACTTCCAAACAGTTGAGGAATTGAGTCTGGCGGTTTACAAAACGAAGGATGAGAAAGTACACTAGCCCACGAGGGCACCACGGCCCTTCTCGTGCTCTAGGCATGGCGGCCCCGCACGTGAGCCCCCTTGCCGTTTGGACGAAGCTACGTGTGTATGGGTGAGAGGAAAGGATAAAACACAGCCCCCACCTCAGTGCTGGATTTGTGCATCTACAGAAGTGTCCTGCTGCCAGACGGGACGGGGCATTTGAGTGGCGCAGCTCCCGTGCTCTGATCCTCAAGGTTCCCTCTCTGTCCACGGATATAGGCTGCAAATGAAGCTGCACTCTGACTGCAAACAAATTCCGTTTTGTCCCCTACTTGAGCCATTCTCACCCCGTGTCCTGGGTAGCCTGGGCCAATGGGCACAACGTCGTTCCCAGCAGCGTGGATGAATCTGGTGGAGGAAGGTGGGCCTGGGCACCTGTGTTAGCAAATGATGCCTCTTGCCCAGGTAGCTTTGATGCAAATGAGGTGCATCAGTTTTTTGGTGACCTGAGAAGAGAGTTAAGAGTGACGGGGAGGTAACCGTAGCCATTGTTACCCACAGAGTCATGGGCAGACCCTGGTAGAGCAAAACTCACACTCACTGTTACAGTTACTGACTCATTACTTGCGAAACAGAGTGGATACGTTACACGGGTCGGCTCAGACCCAGGACTGTTTCATGAGAGGAGTGCTTGCTGTGGACTTTTCATGACTAGCTGTCAGGTGGAAATTCAACATAACAGGTGGAGAGCAAGCTGAGGGGGGATCAGTTTTTTCCACACTATGGAATATTCTTCTGAGGTTGCTCAGATTCTCCCCAAAACATGTAAAAATCCTCGTAAAAGAAATCTCAGAATTGTGTATTTTATGTTAGAAATACCCTGTACACCATTGTTTGTTTCCTTTAGTTTTTTTCTGCTTATAATAAGTGTTATTATTGTTTTGATTGTTATATATATATATTTAAATATATCTTGATTGACTTCAGAGAGAGGAAGGGAGGGGGTAGAGAAATAGAAACATCAACGATGAGAGAGTCATTGATCGGCTGCCTCCTGCACACCCCCGACTGGGGATCGAGCCTGCAACCCAGGCATGTGCCCTGACTGGGAATCAAACCATGACCTCCTGGATCCTAGGAGGTCAGCTGCTGAGCCACGCCCGGCTTTGATTGTTATATTTTTAAGAGAGGTGACCAGTCACGCTGGTGTTTCATAGGCTGGTGGCACAGCCTGCATCCTGCTCTCTCCATCTGCAGTCTCCCACCCTCCCATCACCCGTTCCCCATGCACCTTGCCTTAGCCTTACATGCAGATGCGGCTGTGTCATCAACTAGTCCCTGTCCCCTGCATGGAACCCGCAGTCCCACGGCTGGTCGACAGGGTCCAGCCCTGCCTCCCTCCCCTCCCCATGCCCGCTCCCTACGTGCCCGGACTCCAGTGTCTGTCTCTAACCTAGTGTCTGAAGCTCCTGCTCCTCCTCGTGTCCATGTCTGTGCAGATGCTGTGCTTGAAACACATGGAAACAGCCTCTTCTTCCACATGTCATGTGTGTCTCCTTCAGAGCCCCTCCCCGGCGTCACCCTTCCTGGGGGCTCCCTTGATCAGCTGCTCTGTTCTCATGACAGAGTACTCTCTGCGTGTTTGCATCGTAGCATGTATCGCGTGTCACCCATTCATTCAGCACCTGTTTACTGAGAGCCCACAGCATAGTGGGCACTTGGGCACTGTGGTGAATGGGAGGTGGGCTTACAGCAGGGGCTCTGCTTGTCTGAGTCCCCGCGGACCACAGGTGCCGGAGGTGAGGACCTGTGCCTCACGCCTCTGCGTCTCCAGCGCTGTTCGGAGTCCCACCCGGAGGAGGTGCTAGACTAACATGCCCTGGGTGGGGTCGTGGCTGAATGCAGTTTTCAGCATCACCAGGCCCAGGCTTCAGCCCGGGGCCACGGGAGTCTCCTCCCCAGTGCCTGAGTGGTGGGGACCACGCATCTCCTTGTGGACCCGTGGGCATGCCACAGCCTGCTGGCTTCTCTGTTCCCTGTGTTCCTCGCAGTACGTGCTCAGGGTTTCCAGGAAGGAGGCTGCTATTGGCCACACAGCTTTGGAAAACCTCCTTTGTTCGGGGGGAGTCGTGAGCCCTGCTGTAAGGTCCTCCCCGCCTGGGCCTTGCAGGTGACTCAGGGATGGCGCCAGGGGCAGGAATGACAGCAGGACTGGTGCCTGCAGGGGCGGGAGTCCTGCACCGCCCAGCAGGCCCCTGGGGGCCGTTCCTCTGCAGGAGAGGTGACCCGAGCCTGAATCTGTGTGGCGTGGTGCAGATTCTTCTCCAGACCACCCTGGGAGCCTGCGCTGGCCGCAGCCTGGTGTCGCCGGCCGCTCCGCGAGGCAGCCCTGGGCCCTGGGGTCTCGGGGGTGTGGGGTGGTGGCTCTGAGGCTGGGCGGGCCCCACAGTCACGGGGACGGGCACCTGCCGCCGGGGCTCTCCGTAAAGGTCTCGGTGGCAGGTGTCGGGCCCACGGGAGGCCCTGGTGCCCCCCAGCCCCCGCCCGGTCAGGGATGCCGGTGCCCTGGTGGCAGGACAGTGACCCTCTCTCTCCCCGCAGTGTCTACGGCTGCCCCTTGGCCAAGAAGAGGAAAACGCAGGACAGGCAGCCCCAGGAGCCCGCCCCCAAGCGAAAGCCCCCGGCAGCCAAGGCCGACAGCGCCGCGGGGGACGAGTGCTGCGAGAGCGACGGGACCGAGGACATGGAGGACGAGGAGGACGAGGACCCTGACGACCAGGAGGAGGACCAGGAGGACGAGGAGGACGAGGACCCGGAGGAGGATGAGGACGAGGAGGACGATGGGGACGAGGATGGGGACGAGGACGAGGATGGGGACGAGGACGAGGACGAGGACACCGGTAACCTTCCCGCGCTGCCGGGCGGGTCGGCGCTGAGCATGGCCCCGGGCGAGGGCTTCTGCCGGTCGGGAGGCTGGGCAGTGCTCCCACGGGCGCGTGTGAGTTGGCTGACATGCAGTGCAGATGTGACAAGTGTATCCAGAGGCTCCCTGCGCACTCCTGGCCGCTTGCACACGTGCGGGGAGCTCCCCCAGGAGGCACTGTCGCTGGCCGCAGTAGGAGCGTTGGGTGCTTCTTCCACACGCCTCCCAGGGGTGGGCACTGCGGGTCTCCTGGGGCAACAGCTGGGCTGTCGCGCCTGCCGATGGTCAGAGCCTGCCTCAGCGCACAGTGCCTGTGCGTGCGTGCGGGAGAAGCGCGTGTCTGCTCCGGTGCTGGCGCTGTGGGTGCGCACGGGAGCCATTGCCCAGGGCAGCGCAGGTGGGGAGTGCACTCGGGTTGACTCTGCTCTACCTCCAGTTTTCCGTGAGCGTCAGACTCAGAACCATGACCTCAGAAGGAACCCTTAGGAAAAGTCACTTCTTTTGGAGAAGGGGAGGTTTTCTGAAGAGTTTCATTGGCTTAGAGTTTGCCTCAGAGAGATGTCAAAGCGTCTTTAAAAGTGAAGGCGATGTTTTGTCCTTAACTGTCCTTGGGCTCAAAGCTGTTCAGGAATAAGTTTGGGGACAGCTGACTGCTCAGGACCGAGGACAGTTGTTCAAGCCAGTGGAGTGAGCTAGTGTCTTTGGACCAGGGCTGAGTTGGTTGCTGATCCTGTGTGGTGGACAGAAGTTACCCTTCCTCCTGCAGAAGTCATGGTGGTTTGTTCCCGGAAACCTGAACGTTATGAAACACTCCGCTGGTTACAGCAGCTGACAGTCCTCATGAAGACGATTCACTAGTCGTATGCACAGAGACACACAGTCGTGTAGGTAGAGGTACACACACACACACACATTTTTTCCATCTATGATCATGTAGAGGTAGCGTGGAGACGGCCTGATTAGGCAGGACAGAGCACACAGATAGAAGAGGCACCATGAGGCCCAGGTGTCTCTAGAGATGACAGAGTTTCAGTCTGAGGATTAGAACCAGTAGCTCTGCAGTAAAATATGTGGAAAGTTGGAGGACAGACCAATTTGGCAAATTACTTCTGGACACTATGAAATGTCTATCATTTGGATGAAATCATGAGTGGTTGGTGCTGATTAGTGGTTTGTAATTTACCATGGCTCATTACAGAGGTGGTATAAATACTGCTCTTTACTTTCTCATGCTGTTTGGACAGCAGAGGGCATTAATGTTGGAAGTCATGGTGTCCATGTGTGTAATGGTCATTGTAGGAGAGTTGTATGTGTGCGTCATTGAACCAAGGGTCCCAACCAGATTTCAGGGCCTGCTCTCTGTTTGCTGGAATTAAACTTCAAATTGTAGTTTACTTAGGATCATATTTTAAATAATCTACTTTAAAGGTACAAAACGACCCATTTTGAAAAAGTAGTTAGCATTATAAAATGGCTTTAAAGTGTGATTATGTAGAGCTTTTTCATTCTGATTTAGAGGATAACTGTTTAAATGGGATAGCAAATCAAAACTGAAGGCTTTTATTATTATTAAATTTATCTTTATTGTTGAAAGTACTACAGGTGTCCCATTCCCCTCCCCCATTTACCCCCTCCATCTCACTCCCACCCACCCCTAGGCCTTCACCCCATTATTGTCTGTGTCCATGAGTTATGCATATATGCCTATAACTTCTTTGGTTAATCTCTTCCCACCCTCCACCCCCCTTCCCTCTTTCCTCTGAGATACGACCGTCTGCTGCATACATCAGTGTCTCTGGATCAATTTAGTTTGTCGGATTCTGTTGTTCATTAGCTTCTTCTTAAAGAAGACTGTTCAACATTTCATGTAGTACTGGTCTGGTGGTGATGAACTCCTTTAGCTTTTTATCTGTGAAGCTCTTTATCTGACCTTCAGCTCTAAATAGTAGTTTTGCTGGGTAGAGTAATCTTGGTTGTAGATTCTTGCTTTTCATCACTTTGAATATTTCCTGCCACTCCCTTCTGGCCTACAGAGTTTCTGTTGAGAAAATCAGCTGACAGTTTTATGGGAGCTCCCTTGTAGGTAACTAACTGCTTTTCTCTTGCTGCTTTTAAGATTCCCTCTTTGTCTTTAACCTTTGGCATTTTAATTATGATGTGTCTTTCTGTGGGCCTCTCTGGGTTCCTCTTGTTTGAGACTCTCTGTGCTTCCTGCACTTGTAAGTCTATTTCTTTCCCCAGATAGGGGAAGTTTTCTGTCATTATTTTTTCAAAGAGGTTTTCAGTTTCTTGCTCTCTTCCACTTTTGGAACCCCCACAATACGAAGACTCCTTACGCTATCTTCATATTTCTTGATTCTTTTTTCTTTTTGCTCTTCTGGTTGGGTGTTTTTTGTTTCCTCATGTTCCAAATTGCTGATCTGATTCTCAGCATCCTGTGCTCTACTGTTGATTCCCTGTAAATTATTCTTTCTTCCAGTTCGTGTAGCCTTCATTTCTGATTGGTACTTTATTATGTCATTGATGATCTCACTAGTTTTCTTAACAGTCTTACTAATATCCTTGAGCATCCTTATAAACAAGATTCTGAACTCTGTGTCTGTTAGCTTTTTTGGTTCTATTTCATTTCGTTTTTTTCTAGAGATTTCTTCTGTTCTTTCCTTTGTGACATGTTTCTTTGCCGCCGCATTTTGGCTGCTTCCAGGTGTTTGTTTCTATGTATTAGGTAGAGCTGCTGTGTCTCCTGGAATCTGTAGAGTGGCTTTGTGTAGTAGGTGTCCTGTAAGGTCCAGTCGCTCAGCGTCCCCAGTCACCTGAGCTGGACCTTCTAGGTGCTCCCCTGTGTGGGGTGGGCTGTGTGCACTGTCCTGTTGTAGTTGAGCCTTGGTTGCTGTTGTCATCACTGGTAGGAATTGACCCCCAAACCAATCAGCTGTGAAGTCCAGCTGCAACTATAACCAAAGAGCCGCTGTGCTGGAGACACCCCTATGGAGCCCGATATACTTCAGTGGACTTTTGGTTTCACCAAGTGCGACCCTTGAGTGTGTCACTCGTGGATGTGGTAGGGTTATAATCCAGTGTGGTTGAGTCTGACCACCAGGTGCACTGTCTCTGGGGCCTCCCGGGAGGTGCAAAGTCAGCCTCTGCCAGTGCCTTGCCCAGGGTCACCCAGCATGAGCTACACAGCAAACCATAGTTGCTGCTACTTGTGCTGGGCTTGGAGGTGTCCAGGAGAGGCCCATCTATGAACCAGTACACGCTGCCACTAATGCCAGGCCTGGGGCCACTTATCAAGATGTATGGGGCATGCTGAGGCCAGCTGCTGCTGCTTTGTGAGATTTTAGGAAAGTCCCAAGCATGATGCTAAAGAGGCCACTTACATAGAAAAGCCCTTGGAAATGGCTTGGATGAGCTTGCAAGTAGGGAGGGTGGGGTCTCCAGGAATCACCAGCATGGGGCCAAAGGTGTGAGTCAGGTTGATGGAGATTCAGAAAGGCACCTGCCTGCCAGCTCTGTGTGGGGAGGACTGGCCAAAGGAACAATGGCCTCTGCCAGCTCTTCTGTATGTGAGAAAGCTGCCTATCCAGCTCTCACCCTGATTCCAGGCAAGTTAGTTCCTCGCCAAGTGTCCCAGGTTCCTTTCAAGCTGCTGCCCAGCTCCGGGGCTCAGAGGGAGCACATGTGAGTGAATTCTTGCACTAGCCCTTTAAGAGGAGCTGCCTGGGACTCCCGCAGCCTCTGCAGCCCTCAGCGACAGTCACCGCTGGTTTTTACAGCCCAAAGTTGTGGGGACTTCTCTTCCCGGCCCTGGAACCCTGGGCTTGGGGACCTGATGTGGGGCTGAGACCCCTCATTCCTCCGGGATACCTCCACCACCAAGATATCCCTCTCAGTTTTCAACCGTGGCACCGGGTGTGGTCCCTCGGCCGTGTTTCTGGGATTCAGCCCCGATCCACCTGCGTCTCTGCCCCTCCTACCGGTCTTGATGCTTCTTCAATTCCTTGGTTGTAGGACTTCTGTTCAGCTAGATTTCAGGAGGTTCTGAGTGGTGGTGGTTCTGTATTTTAGTTGTAATTTTGATGTGGTTGTAGGAGGCAGCAGGTACCATGGTTACCTACACCGCCATCTTGTCGTCTCTCCCTGATGACTTTTTTTAGAAAATTTAAATAATTGGATGTGTGTAGCCCCATGAAGCAAGCAGCTGCCTGGTTGTCATGTCAGCCCCAGAAGGTTAATCATGGGACCCGCTGGCCTGTGACCAGCACTCGGCGAGTATGGAATTAGAACCTGAAGCATATTAGGAAGGAGGTTCCAGAAAGCAAATACCCACTAAGAGATAAATAATCAACTGCTGGGTTCCTGGTTTCAGAATTCATATTGTGCATCCTGATCCCCAGGTAAGCACCTTCTAAAATGATCTATCACATGAGCTTTACAGGAATCACCTGGAACTGCTAAAGGAGGTCCGGCTGTGGGAGATGCAAGGTTGGTTACTAGGGTGCTGCTGTTGGGAGTAAACACATCCTGTTCCCCAGTCTCCTCCGCAGTAGTGTGACCACTGATTCCCTTTCAGACAGCCTCTCCTGCGAGTCTACGTCCCAGGGAGCATTTGGTCAAAGGGTAATCACCCATGAGCAGCCCCCTCCATTGGGGTCCTATTGCTGCACGTGCTCTGCAGGGGCATCCCTCTCACTGGATTTCTAAGTCAGAGGAGAGTACCCCAACCCCGGGAGAATCACTGTGGAACCCTGCTCCTGGAGGCTGGCTCTCTAGGCTTCTCTTGTTGTGGGGAGAAGTGTCCCTCTAAGGTGCCCCAGGAGCAGGTGATCTGAGATCCCTCTTAGCTGATATTGCATGGAGCTATGCCAGGTGGATTGTACTCTAGCTATTTCAGAAATCCCCGGGGTCAGAATCTTCCAGAAGATTCTAGATCAAAGGGCCTATGCAGCTTTGTTGATAGAGCACTCATTTCACATGATCACACTCTTGGCTATGTCTCATTTATATGCTTTGAAAGGTAGTATCTGTCAATCTCATTTTTACATCCTCGCTTACCAAATTGCTGTTTTACGCAGCTGCTCAATTCAGCACCAGAATCACTGTCCACGGGTGTGACTTCTGCCACGATGATAGCATCTTCGGTGTGAGAGGTGCTGTGGGCATGCAGCGCCTTCCATAGGGCATGCTCTGTCCCCCCGAATGCACTGGGCAGAGCTTGTGCGTTCCTAAGAAACTGTGTGATGACCAGAGTGGATCTCTGTCTTGAAGTCAGTCTTTCGTGTTCCTTGTTTACACTCTTGGTGACCCTTATGCCTGTGGGCCATCTGCAGGTGTTCTCCAGGGCCACTGTGCCTTGTTCTTACCAAATAGAAGCACAGACAGCAACCTTACATCAGCAGAGAGGTAGAGGAGTCCTGACAGCAGGAGAAGAGCCTTGGACAGTGCAAGAGACCGGCGCGTCCACATGCAGTGGCTCCTCTAGCAGGAACTGGGGCATCCTGGTGTAGCCACAGACAGAGTGGATGTAAAGATTGTTTTGCTAACAGGCTGCTATTTCCCATCACCCAGTGTGTTGTTTCCATCTCAGTTATAAGTTGAAATGTGGAGTTTATTGACAGGTTTGTTTTAAGTAAAATAAGTGTATACAAACCAACAGATTATTGCAGTAGGAACCCACAGATTATAGAAGCAGCATTATTTACAACATGGGAATTAGGTATTTATTTTAATTCCAAGGGTCCTCCAGCATTGCAGCTATATAGGAACCAGAATGTTGCTAATAATGACCATCTCCAGTGGGCGTAGCAGTGATTGTCACGTGGCTGTGGGTGGGAGGCAGGTAGAAGCTGCCTCACTGTCTGTGGTGCATTCATTAGATGCTGAGGCTCAGAAAGCTTAGATTATCTTCAGTGGGTGGTGGATGGTGGTCAGACTCTGATGGTTTTTCTTACTTCAGAGCTTGGATCTTTTTATCACTTTCTGCTTATTTGAACAACAGGGATGAATATCTTGGTAGTTCGTTTCAGATTACACTGAGTTCACATTTAATGAATTGAATGATATTTATTGTCCAGTTGACATATCATAGACTGGTCCTTTGCATGAAAAATTTTATTTTCAGAATACATTTTAATGATATAAGTGTGCATTTATTAATAAAAGTTCCCTTGGTGTCCTGAAGATAAAGTTATTATTAGGGGGTCATAGATTTTTCTAATAGCAGATGTGTGTGATATGGTAAATACCCTTTTGGAATCTTGTGATTTGAGAGATATAGACTAAATGGTTATTTAATGCCTAATAAGTTATGGTTTACTTTCATACTTCAACCAACTAAAAAGAAAACACCTTTAAGTAACATGTACACACATATGCATACATGTATGAGTGCATCCTGTGTGTGCCCACAGATACAACAGAACATCCCAGGAGGAAGAACAGCAACTTGCTGCCCAGCCTGGAGACAGCCTCCCTGTGGCTGCCACTCCCCACACACTGTGTCTGTTCTGAAACAGGCGTGAGAATGTACATCCTTCCTGTGGCGAAGCTTGGGACTGTCTCGGGCAGTAGACTTTGCAGGACATGCATGGGACCATTGGGTTACATGATATAAAGCCAGAGGCTCCCTTTCTTTGAGGCTCGCCGGCCTCCTTCAGCATGCTCTCCATACCCATGGGCCTGAGGTGTGGGGTGCATTCTCGGAAGTTCACGTCCAAGGAGGAGGTAGGTGGTTTGAGGGAGAGTATGGATGACCACTTTAGGAACCTCTGTGAAGTAGGACAGGGTTGCTCGGGGCCAGACAGCACGCTGAACAGAGTCAGAGTGGAATGTGTGGTGTGGCGACCTTGTCCTCAGGCGCTCGTGTTAGCCAGTGTCCTGGGCTCCTGGCCTTCCTCCCCACAGCCGGCCTCAGAAGCAGAGCCTGTCCACCTGGTCCTGACCATCTCACTGCCCTCCCACGAGACAGTCCTGCATGTGAGTCCACCTTCACACAGGCATGTCCTGTCTGCTGTAAGTCAACTCTCTTTGAAAAAATTCAAGACAAAATCCACCCTGTACAAATTCCTCCCTTGGAAGAAAAAAAAATTGCAGTTTCCAGGACATATTGTCTTTCAAACAGGACAATGCATGGGCCCAGGTTACTAAAGTATCATGACGATTTGCAATAGGTGGGCTTGAATTTCCATCAGCAGCGACAGGATGAAGGTGGTGAGGGGTCTGCATTGTGGCCTCTGCATTCCCCAGACCCCCTTTAGGATGTTGTTCTCATGCTGATTAGCCAGGTAGCCTCTTCCATCGTTCTCAGGGATGTGTCCCTGATGAGGGAGGCAAGTTGAATTGCAAACAGACTGTGAAATCTGAATGAGCCAACCAGTTTTCTGCCACAGTCAGTGGGACACCAGAGAGCTCTGCGACCCCGCCGAGCAAAGGTGGTGTGTTTTAGTATGCAGGGTTCCGACGGCAGAGGCTGTGGGTACAGCGGAAGAAATGCCTGTTTATCCTCTGGATGTTAGTCTTCCCCACCCGGGAAGGTGCGCTTTTAGGGGCTGAGCTTGGGGGTGCAGCCCCTGACTTCTGAGTAAAGGCAGTTAGGCATTTCTAGGTATTAGCCTGTGATGGAAATTAAACTTCCTTCATGCAAACTAATTTTGCATAATTACAAAATATAATTATATCTTGTATTTCATGAATTGTCAGATACTTCGATACAAGCCAGAAAGCTTGCTGAGAATGTAATGTCGTGCATTTAGGATGCAAGGAACGTGCATAAGATACTGGGGAATTCTTTCCCACGTGATCACGAGGAGCCAGGTGCAGAATAATCGAATATGGTCTGTTGCGTTTGCTTTAGGGTCTGTGTGGAGCAGTTACCGGGTCGTTTGCCTTGTCTTGTTAATTTAATTTTTATTTCAAATGCTCATTTTTCAAAATTTAAAATAAAGCCCAGGGATAAGGTGTATCTCCAGTGTTGGTTGGACCCCCTGTCTTGGGCGAGTCCCCGACTCACGGGACCTCACTTTGACTTCCAGCACTGAGGAAGGTAACACTGCCCTTCTGTCACCCTCCCGTCAGCAGGATCGCCTCTCAGGTCACCAGTGTTCTGCCAAATGGGCAGAATGTCTTTGGGATGAGAAAAGACATTTTACCAGGAAGTTATTTTAAGTGCAGGTTCATGCTGTAAATAAGAGAGCACAACTATTTAGACAGAGGTGTAAAGAGAGGGCAGAGCATCCCTGTTTTCTTTGTAGTTTTCTACTTCAAGTCTGCCTGTTTGGTAGGACATTCGTCACCTGAGAGCTGATCCGTTGACTCCTCAGTTTTCTGTAGTTGGAACTGTGGGTACACACAAACTGACTGACACACAAACTCCAGGCCCATTCCCCATGGCCCAGTACCACCTGTGATCTGCTTCAGCCTGAGCAAAAACACAACTAGAAGGGCAAGGAGCCTGAGAACACAAAACCAGCGATGGCATCCTAAAAGCTCTCAGCAAATGGTTTTGCATTCTGGGGAGGCTGGCATGCAGCAGGTACTAAGAACTGCTGTTGGCAGGTTGATTGACTGCTCCCCTCCATTCATCCACGTGATTGAGAGCGGACTTGATTTCACACGTGTTTTGAATTACTTAAATATCAGTAACTTGAGAAACTCCATGAACCTGCAAGGATTTTCGGGCCCTCAGGTAAATTTATCAGCCATTCCCACATTCCCTGCTGTCATTGGCGAACCAGTTCCAGGTCAGTGACCTAGAGGGAGGGCCCGGCCTTGCAGGTGGCTGTGCAGCGAGGTGTGGATGCCTTTCCTTTGCCTGTCTCTGGTTTTAGCAGTAGGCTGAGTTCCCTGGCATCTGCACTGTGGGTCAGTGCTGCCCTGTGTGTAGGACGCTGCCACCCTGAGGGTCCTGCGTGGCATGTCCGCATGACTCCTGGGAGAGCTCTCTAGAGGGGACAGGTCTGGGTCACCAGCATGATACAACTAGTGACTAGGCCCAGGCCATGTGACTGCCATTTCCGAGTCCATTCTGATATGACACAGTGCAGTGTGCACCACCCTGCTTTTCTCACAGTGAGACTCCGGAGCTGGAGGGCACAGTGCAGCGTGTACTAGCCCTGCTTTCAGGTGGGGAGGAGACCCCTCCTCACCTTGTTTTCAGCCCTTCATCTGTGTGAGGTCATGTGAAGACGTGTGTCCTTGTAGGTTCCAGTGTCCTTGGGGGAAAGGTAACTTATGAGTGGGGGGTGGGTGAGACTTGTTCCTCAACCATGTGATGAGAGGGGTGGAGGAGCTGCTGGGAAGCACAGAGACAATAGCAGAATCCATTTCCTACTGGGGGCAAATGGGCTGAAGGCATTCCTGGAATGTGCAATGGGAGAATTCACTAAAGTCATGCTCATCCTGAGATTAGGAAAGTCATGAGATCATACAGTGTGACGTCCTGGCCAGTGGAGTTCAGTGGTTAGTGCATTGGCCTGGGCACTGAGGTCTTGGGTTGGATTCCAGGTCAAGGGCACGTACCTGGGTTTCAGGTTCGCTCCCTGCCCCCAGTTGGGGCATGTGTGGGAGGCAACCAGTCCATGTGTCACTCTCACATCAATGTTTCTCTCTCTCTCCCCTTTCCTCCCTCCCTCCCTCCCTCTCTTTGAAAAGCAATGGAAGAGATACCCTCAGGTGAGGATTAACCAAAAAGAAAAGTTCACAGTGTGTATTGCTTCACACCCCAAGTGCAGCCCTGACTGGCTGAGAGAGGACGTGGCGCAGGTGTTCCCTCTTCTTTTTCTCTATTTCTGTGGTTTCCTTCTTTCCAAGATCTTCAGGATGAGTTGTGTTTCTCAAGAGAACATTGAGAGAAAAATGATGAAAATAGTCCGTCTTACCTAACTGTGATGTCTTCTGTGCCTCGGCGCTCAGGGTGGTTCAGGTGCCACGTGTGTCTCTTGTTTCATCTCACAGCCAGTTCTCTGTAGGGACAGTGGCGCTGGCTACAAGATCACCAGTCATGTGGAGGTCACGGAGCCCTGTCACCCTGACGTGGCTTCCGGATCACAGCCCGGGGATATGACAGCAGAGTGCATCGACAGAGAGGAGACTATAGCTTATGTGTTTTCAAAAGTTCACTGCATCGGATTGCTGTCAGGTCTTAAAAGCTGGAGTCCTGGGCCAGTGGCGTGTTTCCAATCGCATCTGTGGTTTGGGTCTCTTCCCTCTTGCTGCCTTTTGGGGCTGTGTATAGCCTGGTCCTCAGGAAGAGGATTGGTAGGAACTGTCCAGGAGGGGCCATTTGTTGAGGATAGTTGGTGATGCTCTATGACTAAAACATGGCAAATTTGGTTTGCTGGAGTGTTGGAGGATGTGCTAGATGTTTAAGGTGTGGGCTCCGTGTGTGGGCCAGCGGAGATGTCTTCTAGTATTGATGTGCTGAAGTACAGACTGTTACACAAAGAAAGGTCTTTCTGAGGGGATGGCAGGCGCCCATCAAGAACACCTTGGGTGCTCTGACCTGCTGAGTCAGCTGGGAGTTTCACTTCTTCAGCTCATTAGTAAACTTTCAGTTCTTCTTACTCCTGTTTTTTAATCATAGGAACAAGGAACAGGTGTGACAATGGCATGACTGGCATGCAGCTAAGTATATCCAGTCTAAGGGGTGGGAGGGGCACAGGGGATGCATTGACTATTACCTGTGTCTGCCCTGTGCCTGAGAGCGGCTGTGCCTCGTGGAGAGGGGTGCCTCTGCGTGTCCCAGGTAGCCCCTTAGTGTCAGGATGCACTGGATGTGGAACGTGGGGGTTTTATGTAATTTTTAACATGGTCCTTTTCTAAAACAGTTTTCCTAAATACTTTTTTGAGACTGGATATAAGTTATTCACACATTATTTCTCCAGCTCACCAGAATTTCCCTGAGGCTGTGAGGTGGGTGAATGCCACAGGCTGTGTGTCAGATGAAAGGCCATGTTGCATGTGGTGCTGGGGCACCGCAGCCCCGCTTTTTATGGGCATGTGGTCGCTGGGCCTCCTCCCTCCATGTCCTACCTCCCACTGATGTACTCGCATAGGGTTCTTAGTTCATCAGATTGGTTTCTGACTCTTGCTATGGCATTCCCGTTGCTTCCTGTGCATTCTGATAAATTATCTCCAAGGTACCAAAGTCAGAATAACTCTTAACTCAGCCTAAACATGTGCTTCTGATACCAAATGCAGCAGCATAGGTGGTGTCTCTGCTTGAGTCCCCGGGAATCCAGGCTTTCCTCATGCCACCTGAGCACCACTGGGAAACCAAATGGTTTAAAAGCCTTGGCTGCGAACATCTGCTTAGGAGTTGAAACGAAAAAGTTCACAAGCTCTTCAAAGTCTAGTAATGACTATAACTGATACGCATTTGGTTGGGCTGCAAATAAATAGAGCCAATGAAAAAAGTAAGTAATTCTCAAAATTTGGAAGTAATAAAAAATTAATATTTTTAAATTACAGGTACTGTATATACTGGTTTGTTTTAAGATTAGTGAAGGAAGTTAATAGTGAACAGCACGTGTTGTGAACGGCCTCCTGTGCCCGGCACAGTCTGTCCTGCGTGTCGACGTGGTGGGGGGCGTCAGGCCTGGGACACACGGGCTTGACTGCAGGAGGCCTGCTGTCTGAGCTGTTGCACCGAAACATCAGGGTCTAGCCACTTTTTCTCTTCTTTCCTTTCTTGTCCTCTTTTTTATTTTCTTTGCAGAAGACCATCAAATGAATTGTCACAGTAGTCGGGTAACGCAGGACACAGAAAAGGATGGCAATAACAACGACGAATACGACAACTACGACGAGCTGGTGGCCAAGTCCCTCTTGAACCTTGGCAAGATCGCTGAGGATGCTGCATACCGGGCCCGGACAGAGTCCGAGATGAACAGCAACACCTCTAACAGCCTGGAAGATGACAGCGACAGGCATGAAAACCTGGGCCGGAAGGGCGAGCTGAGCCTGGACCTAGACAGCGACGTCGTCAGGGAGACAGTGGACTCCCTCAAATTACTAGCACAAGGGCACGGGGCGGTGCTCGCAGAAACCATGAATGACAGAAGCTACGCAGACCCCGTGTCACAACAAGACAACAGAAACATGAACTACGTGCTGCTGGGGAAGCCCGTGAACAGCGGGCTCGTGGAGAAGCGGGTGGAAGAGAGCGACGAGGAGGTGTGTCTGAGCAGCTTGGAGTGCTTGAGGAACCAGTGCTTCGACCTGGCCCGGAAACTGAGCGAAACGAGCCCACAGGACAGGAACCCGCAGCAGAGCATGAGCGTCCGCCAGCACGGCCGGCCAGAGGACGACTTCTCAGGAAGAACGCCCGACAGGAACTACTCCGACATGATGAACCTGATGAGGCTCGAGGAACAGCTGAGTCCCAGGTCGAGAACTTTCTCCAGCTGCGCGAAGGAGGACAGCTATCACGAAAGAGACGACGACACTGCCTCTGTCAACTCGGACAGGTCCGAGGAAGTGTTTGACATGACCAAGGGAAACTTGACCCTCCTGGAGAAAGCCATTGCTTTGGAAACAGAAAGAGCCAAGGCCATGCGGGAGAAGATGGCCATGGAGGCCGGCAGACGGGACAGCATGAGGTCATATGAGGAGCAGTCACCAAGACAGCTACCTGGGGAGGAGAGAAAGCCCAAATCCAGCGACAGCCATGCCAAAAAGCCATACTATGGTAAAGGTAATCTTTCTACCTAATGTAAGTTGCCTCACGGAAACGGGAGCCTGAGTAAAAGGTGTTGGTCATGGTCCCCGTCGAGTGTGCAGCACCGTGGACCGTGCCTCTGATGTGATTTCTCAGGCTGGCTCCAGAGTCACATGGTGACTGTGGTTCTGAAGGGCAAACAGAATGAGTGTCTGAGAGAAACAGAGCAGCTCACGTCCTGTCACAGACAGGTGACTGGGACATGTCAGCGGGAAGTGCACAGACTCACCATGTGGTAGAGGCTGCTAGGTGGGCCCGTGACCTCATCGACAAGCCCCAGTCTCAGTGGCAAGGGTCTGTGCAGCAGTCAGCAGTCAGGGATGAAGCCCATGTCTTCTCAATCGGGCTGGGTAGTGACGTCATGATCTATAAAGTTATCATTGAATGACAGTTATTGATAAAACCTCCCCCATAGAGAACATCCCTGATAGAAATTGAACAGTAACAGTATGACTGATAGTGTAAGACAGAGGCAGGGACTGCACATTCATTATCTTAGGTACTCGGGGTTTGGCGCCATTTGCTAGCACGGAGCCTGTCCCAGGCTGAGATCAACAGTAATTTCCTCAGAAGACTCGTCCCCTCACCAACCCCATTCCTTTGTGGAAACAGTGTGGGGCTTACCTTACTATAAAACACCCAGAACCGCCAGTATCGACGTTCAGTGGACTTTTTTTTTATGAGATATGTGAGCACATGTTTGCACACATCTCTATATTTAACCACACGTGTGTTAGTCAGCGTGCCTAATACGTATGTTCCGACCTGAGCGATTGACTTCTTGTTCCCAGTAACAGCCACGTTCAGCAGCACGCAGGTTATAATTCACCCTCACGTAGAACTGTGGCAGTGTGGGTATTTCAGTCACACACTCAGAACTAAGTAAGAAGCAATTTCAAGATAAAACTGGTGATTCCTTAAGTCCTTCCGTGTGAGTACAGAAAAGACCCTCTGTTCTGTATGTTGTTCTCTTCCTTATAAATACTGAGTTCCTCTCTCTGCATCTGATCATGAGGTTCAGGAATTTGGTTTGAAAATCAGTTGCTAAATGAACTTCAAATGATCAGAAACTGCCTTTTCTGCTGTGACATAGGTGTGTATTCTCCTCTCAATGTGTGCATGTGACCCCAGGGCACGTCGGGCAGCACTGCAGCCAAGTTCCCTTGGACACGAGCCTGAGCCAGAGGCCCCTTGGGCTCTTGGTCTGGCTGGATGTCCACTCAGTGGCGCAGGTGGAGGCAGTCTCATGAGGTGTGGACATGAGGAAGGGGTTGTGCTTAGGCCACAGAGTGTAGCTCAGCGGAGCATCCGGCTTGCTGTGGGGTGCTGAGAAGACTACAACAAGTCGTATGTACGTTGTAACTATAGTGGAGTCTGTTAAAAACAGTTGGATATTTGAGACTCGTATCTCAGCACTGTTAGGAAGAAATAGTGTCCTTCGTCATGGGCTTGTTCAGTGGGACACACAGGTGTAGGTTCTGCTCTGGGGTCTGCAGAGTGGTGCTGTGGTGGGCCCCAGCACAGCACCCAGTGGGGTTCCAGGGAATGTGTGCTTTGGGCACCGTTTCTCTGGTGTCTGTGGTTCCTTTAAGCTCAGAGCTTTCTGTAGATTTTGACTCATTTTGTTTTATTTTGTTTTGTCTTAGTTTTTTGTAAGAAATGGAATTCAGATCCCTTGCTTCTCCTAAATAAAAGGGGTGGGCGTGAATGGTGAAAACTGAGACATGCTTTTCCCTGGGATGGGGGAGGGTTGGAATGAGCCGGAGAGCATTGTTTCCTGCCCCTGCCCAGTCCTCAGATCTTCCTCCAGTAGCAGCTTCCTTCTGTCTTGTTAGTATGTCCCACATGGTCCCCAGTTTCTTTTGAAGATGCCTGTAAGGTTAGAACCCAACGGATGTAGCCGAGCAAGGACACCAGAGTGGGTGAAGGGATTCAGGTCCTTTTATAAAAAATGTGAGGTCTTAGTAGCTTGGCCAGACAGTGCCTACAGCCACAGGGCACAGCAGCAGTCTCTCTCTTTTGCTCCTCTTTATTTTATTAGAGGTACAGGGAACACTCGTTCCAGTTCTCATTTACACTCAGTCTGCTCAAAGTGGTTTCAGTGATAAATGAGCAACCTTTCCAGTTCATCCTGAGACTCCTCGGTTGTTTTCTTAAGCATCCACTGCACAGGGGCACAGGAGCAAGCTGCCCAGCACACAAGTCTTTTCTAGGTGTTGTTGGTTTGCAGTTGATGTTGGTCTGTTCACTTGCTTGGCTGTCTTGTGTTTGCTCCAATGTTTGCCTTCAAGACGAATCGGGATGGCAAGAAATAAGAAAGCAGTGAAGGTGATGGGAGGGGAGCCGCAGTGCCCCCAGCCCGGCTCACGCATCGAGAGGAGACTATACCCTGTTGTCTTCCAGCACCTGAGGCAGCCTGAGCCACGCTGTGCCCATGCGTATCTGATCTTGGCTTCAGAGCATTTGTGAAATCTGTGAATAATCTGTTAGGAAATTTTAAGTGTCTTGATGAAAAAGAGACACTTAATGATTAATAATAGTTACAACTTCCATTTTATCCTTTAAAAGTCATTTATATCTAGTTTATGATCTTAATATTTTCCTAGGAAACTGTTATATTTACATTAATAAAATTATACCAATGTTGTTATTGTGAAATGACTCACAAGACAGTGAAATGCTGGGCTTCGGGTTTGCATGTAGGAGACGCTCCAGTAAGATGCCTAAACATTGAAGTCACGCCAACATACTTTTAGATTTGTTTCCAGGGATTACCATCTACAGGAGTGGCCGGACGCGGCAGATAGTTGTATCTAGGACATTTCCCCAACATCAGCACTAGTTTAAGATTGCAGAGCCTGGGAAAGACACGTTATATAGAATAGCATGCTAGCTGAAAAGTAAAGGGGCTCCTCTATGGAAACACAGAAGCATTTAGTTATTCCTGCGAGTCCTTTGTCTACTTCTGTTTGCATGAATGACTTAAAATGTCCATAAGACTTTTAAAAATTTTAAACCAGTCTTTTTCTTTATATAAAATGAATTCTTAACCAAAAGTAAAACGTATGTTTTTAACAGTCATGATTGGCTTGATTAATGAAATATTAATTTAAAAGCACTCAATCCCTAAAGAAATTTTACCCCAGCATTCCCTGGACCAAGTCATAGCAGTCACTGTCTTGATATTCTGCGCAACTGGTTTTCAAAAACTGGCTCAAAAACAGTGTTTTGCACACTCACGGTACTGTTTGGTCTGAGCTTTATCTTAGAAATTCTCTGGAGTTATTTTCTGCACGTTTGTTTTTGCACTGGGTTCAGTTCTGGGCACAAAAGTAACATCTGAGCAGTATCATTGCATTTCCGCCTCTGGCTCCTCCCCCGCGGAGCTGCAGAGCTGCTGACCTGCCTGCACAGCCTCACAGGGCTTCCTTGGTCCCCAGTGCGCAAGAAGGAACCACACCCACAGCTGCTGCAGCAGCTCTGGAACAGTCCTGATTGCTCGTCCCGTCAGGCGGGATCCGCCACTCGGGTCATTTGCTTGCAGTGCCTTCTGAGAGTTCAGCTCATTTTCAGAAAATCTCTAAATTGACGTGTTACCAACCAGTGTTGCAGAGAACACATTTCAACACCAGCAAATTTATGCCTTATAGTGTCTACAATCAGAGCATTTGATAAGAAAGAAATCCTCTAAAGGGTATCTGAGTGGCATGGAACCACAGTTGGATTTCACAGAGCAGTTGTGCAAGGACCACGGTGTGGTTTTGTTCTCTGAGAAGGCCACTGTCTCAGCACGAGTCACGATTTCTTTGAGCTTATCATGTAACACACGGGAAAACAGTTAATCAAGAGTTCAGGTAGGGACAGTCTTTTGTTCTCTTTAGCATAGAAAGTAAAATATTTTATGATTCATGATTACACTGTTTAAGGTCAATAATCACCCAAAACCAAGGACCTATGCAAAAGCCTGATCTCACGGCCTGTCTCCATGACACCTGCTTTATTTCTTTATTTATCAAGGTCTCTTCAGAGTGTGAAATAATCACATTTGTCTTCAGTGGGTAAAGAATTCATTCTCTTGACACCTGTTGTCGCTTTTAGATCCCTCGAGAGCAGAAAAGAAAGAAAGCAAGTGTCCAACCCCAGGGTGCGATGGAACTGGCCACGTAACTGGGCTGTACCCGCATCATCGCAGCCTGTCCGGATGCCCGCACAAAGATAGGGTCCCTCCAGAAAGTAAGTCGTGTCTCACCACTCCCCACACACACCGACGGCCGTTTCTGTCATCGCTCTTGCCCTTCTCATTTCCATCTGTCCTGACAGGCAGCCCCCAGCACGAGTGCGCGGTGGGGGCCAACGGGCTCTAGGGCTCCCCCTCCAGTGGGCAGTGTTTCCTCTGTGTCCTTCCTATGACTGGCCCTAGGAGGGGGCACAGCACCAGGCGTTCCTCTGCCTCCAGGCAGGCCCGGACTCCAGGCCGTCATTCATTTCTGACTTGCTCTGTGATGTCAGGCAGGTCTCCCCAGCTGTAGAACTGAATGCAGATAGTCCAACATCCCTTCCGGCATGAAGCTGCTGTGAACCTCAAGAAAACCCCTTTATCTGGGCCTGTGCATATATGTGCACCAATATTTATATTTGTGTTTTATTGCATTTTACATTTCACGTCATAGTGGTCCCAACATTTCCACACAATAAAATCTTAACTAAGAGGCTATGGCGGGTGGGTTTTGATCCCACACATTTGTTTTAATCAGGTTCTGAAAATAGGCCATAAATTTTTTAAAACAACTGAATTTCCTTTAGAAGTGAACCAGTGTACTCCTCCTTCCCTTCCTCATAGCACGGGGGCACGTCAGCCACTTTAGAACAGTTAGAGCTGGTTGCGCAGAGAAATGGCACATTTTCAGAAATGTCTGTGAGTCTCAGGATTCCCTCTGTGTCTGAGACACAGTTTCTAGCAAGGAAAATGGAATCGCTGGCCTGGAGATATGACGAGGTGACCAGTTGACTGTCTACAGGGACTTCTGAGGATTGTGCCATTAGCATGGCTGACTTTGGGATACTTGAAAGGCAAGTCCATCAGAACTGGAGAAGTTTCTAGTAGTGAGGCTGAGAACACAGGCTTAGCAAAGCGTTTTCAGGTGAAATACTTTAGAAGCTGTAGTGGTTCAGGTGTTCAGATGGCTGCTGACAATAACAGAGCCTGTTTCCTGCACGTGCCCCGTGAGCCGACGAGAGTGCAGCTATGGGAATGATCACTCCACCCCGTGTGTTACATGAGCAGGGAGACGGCATGTGTGGCCCAGCAGCTTACACTCCCAAGCCGGGCGCCCCACTCGCACGCATCCCACACTCATCAAGTCCCCTCCAAGTGTGCAGCCTGCAGGTAGCGCGGCCCCAGTTTTCAGATGAGGAAAACGCACAGACTCCATCCCCTTCTTTCCAGCGTTAGCACAGGGCCTGGCAAGTTGAAGACACCCGGTCCTTTTCAAACCAATGTGAGCAGCTGCAAACTTTCCTGGGTAGATACCTGAGCAAGATCTGGGTCCATATCCACCTGCATTCCAAGCCCGCCTGTCTCCCCGGACCTGGGTCTGATCTGGCCTCCTCCTAACCAGCTGTGTGACCTTGGCAGGCACACGCTTCTGTACTTGGTTTTCCTCACCTGCAAAATGAGGCACTAGGACCAAGGGCTAATGTCTTAAGAGAAATAGCTCCTTTGTGCCATTTTTCTTGAAGGCATACATTTTCCCCTTCAAAATAGAAGATCCATTTCTTCTCCTGGCTGAAAAATTCACCTGCTTCCGTATTTTCACAGGAAAAGTCTTAAGTGGAGCAGAAATAGGTACTGTGTTCTGACAGGTCGCATATTGAGAGAGCTCACACAGACCGCACCTGGTCTCACCTTGGCCCGGGTGAGGTGGGAGCTCAGCTCTGACACTGGCCCTATACATGCCTTCCAAGTACTAACTTATATAGTTCCTCATAATATAAAAATGTAAAAAGGTTGCACCCAAGTGAATTCCACAGAGTAGTGCACAGCCAGTGTGCAGCACACTGTTAGAAACAGGCCGCCCTCTGAACGAGACCCTGCTCTGTCCTCTGAAAACCCCCACCTGGCTGAGACAGGGCGCGTGCACAGGACAGATGTGACCTCTACAGGACAGAGGCTCGGCAGCGTGCTGTAGACACACCCCGAGACATCAGGGTGATGACATCCCCAGGGAACTTCCAGGGCACTGACATCCTGCTTCAGCCTGTCCTGTGAGAGAGAGAGCCACTGTGTTTCCCAAGAGCCCCTGGATAGTCCACATAAGAGGCAGGCAGCAGGGTAGGGGGGCTGGGCGGGCTCAGGAGCATCTCCGAGACAGGCTGGCAGGGCTGGGAGACCGGATGTGGGAGAGGGACACAGACTGAGATGAAGGCAAGGACCGGTGCCTTGAGACGTGGTCAGGCGTAACCACAACGGTAGTGCAGGGAGTTGAGAAACAGAGGTCATGACTGGGATTTGTTCCCTGAAACTGGAGGTACTATCTGATGTTCCCCGCAGGCTGTCGGGAGGAAGGTCTGGAGATCTGGAGGAGGTCAGGTGGCAGGTGCTCTCGGGTCTGTCCTTTGAGGGGTGAAGTTGCCCAGACAGGAGGCGTCAAACGAGAGGGCACAGGATCCACAAGTGGGAGCTTAGGACATAGAAGCGTAGGGAGGTGAAGCCAAGGAAGAGAGGCCAGTGTAGAGAAGTCGGGGAAACGGGAGACTGGGAGAGGGCAGCATTTCTGAAACGCAATAAAGGAGACACCTGCGAAAGGCCAGAGAAGTCTAAGAGAAATACGTGCACCCTGGGTTGGAGACTGGGGTGAGTGTATGTGGCCGAGGAGGCAGAGACATACAGGCCCATCCCAAGTTAGGGTTCATGTGTCCACTCAGCAGGCGACAGAGGTGCAGTCAGTCTGAGATCTGTTCACGGACACACTTGAGAGGTGTTTGCTGTCTCCTGGGAGGACCTTATGTTGGGAAGGTTTAGCATCAAAGGAAAAAGTGTGTGCATTCGAGAGACGCAGTGTCATGGGAAGGGTCTGTGTGAAGTTCTACAGGGTGGTAAGGCAGGAGAGAGTAAGAGCGAGATGAAGGCCCTGGGTGGAGCCCCCAACAACGATGAGAACTGACAAGGGGAAACCCAGTGTGAGGAGCGGAGCAGGAGCAAGGAGTGGAGCTGTGGCCTCACATACCAAGCACGTTGTGTGGAGCAGCACACGCGTGTGCACATCTCAGAGAAGGGAGACTGTTCTGGATGGAGGAAAGCTGTAGGAGGTGCAGTCATGGGACTCGTGTAGGCTGACTCTGTTTTCAGGGGCCTCCCATGTCCAGCTGCATTAGGTAAAGCTGCTTCTCAGGGAATGCTGCCTCAGGCTCCTGCCACCTTGTTCTCTGGGAGGGTGTTGCCAGTAGTGCTGGGCCAGTGACCTGGGTTACTTCTCTTGACTGTCTACCCCACTTCTCATGTCCATCTGCCTTCCCAGCAGCCTTGAGCAGTGGCCTGTCCAGACTGGTCGCTCCATGCACCACTGTGACCAGGGCTGTGTGTCCCACTCGCCGGCCTCACAGGCTCCAGTGGCACAGCACTGCCTATCCCAGCTCACTCACTCGGATGATAAAGGACTTAATTCCTAGAGAGAAAGCCATTATTTAATTCAGTTTATTAAAATAAAATTTGGGTTCTCTACCACCATGACCACCATGCCCTCCTAGCACCGTGTGTTTCTGAGGTAGGGGCCTGTGTAGAAACTGTCCAGTCTGCCTGCTGCTACATGGCGAATAGATACTCAGTGCCCGTGTGTGGAGACAGATGGGTGGCCTTGTGTCCCTACCCGCGGAACAATTCGGTCCTCAGCTCTGACCTCCAGCCCCATACAGCGCACCCTGCTTTGCATGCCAATCAGATGAGGTGGAGACAGCCTGCCTTCTCTCCCTGCGTGTGTTTTCCTGGCCATGCCCATCACGAATGTCTGTAGGCCTGTCTGCCGTACACGAGCCCACCATGTTAAAGTGACTGCATACGCCTGTGTGGACGTTTCTGTGTTTTAATGCCGCGTGTTTTCTCTGCCTCTCTTCATCAAGTTCTTGCCATGCATGAGAATGTCCTCAAGTGTCCTACTCCGGGCTGCACAGGGCGAGGGCATGTAAATAGCAACAGGAACTCTCACAGAAGGTAAGCACCACACCTGCACCTGGCCTGCAGGGGAGGCCCTGGGAGGGCCCATCTTCCCCCCCGAGACATGCCCTCCTCAGGCACGGAGCCTGTGGTCCTTTAGCACACAGGAGTCAGAGGCTCAGATCCCTTTTTCATAGGTGGGATTTTTTAATTGTCTCACCTACCTTGTTGTGATGGAGTAACAGTCTCCTCTCCTCCACCCCCCCAGGAGGCGCCATCCTTGGTATAACATCTAAGGTGGAACCGTGACCGTCTGCAGTCACAGTAAAGGCTCCCTATCCCCCAGAGGTCAGAGGGACTGCCCCACTCACAGACAGAGCGGGACTTAGATACAGGGAGACTGCACAGTTTGACAGGACTGGCTGCCCATCCCTGCCTAAACCCTGTCATCAGTGTGGCCATCAGCAGTACGGGAGGGTGTCGGGTACATGTGGGGGAACCTGCGCCCAGTGGGTAGACTGTTTCTGGCCCACTGCTGTCCTTACCTGCTCAGAGTCACACCTTTGCTCTGGACAAATTCCAGTTCTCTTCCCCCCTTATTCTCACCTTTACTGAGTTGCATTTGGTTCAATCAAATGCTTTTTTGCAGTAGTCAGAAATGGTTCTGTTACAATGAATCTTACAGCCCATTTCAGTGCCACCACTCGCTCATGTAAAATTTCATCTAAAGGGAGGAAACTGCTGTGAGTTTCCCTTTAATGTTTGCTCTCCCGACTGGCAAATTTGGTCGATTGTGTTAAATTTGTAATGAATCAAATTGCAACCCCACCACCTCCAGCCCTTCTGAGAGTTCCTTGGGCTTATGCTGCAGGAGGAGGCAGCGATAGGTGGTCAGGGCCCGCGTGTACAGCACCAGGTCCTTCGTCAGACCTGTGCAGAGCCCGCACGTCCATGGAGTGAGAACACGTGTGCCTTCGCTTGGTGGACATGTGTGTAGTCACACAGACACCGTGGTCTCACGAAGGACAGACTCACACACAAAGAGCAAATCTGGGTCTTGTCCCTTAGTATCCAGCTCCAGACAGCTTCCAGCAGGTCCTGCAATTGTCCTGCTTTCCCCCACCCCACCCCGCCTTCTGTCTCTCTTCAAGGGAGGATCAGCCCCAAGCTGTGGTCAGTAGTGCTTGCGGGGTCGGCCCAGACCTCCATCTCTGGTGCCAATCAGAGAACTGCCCTGCTTGGACTTCTTAGCCTGCCTGGCGGTTAGGCTCTCCCCCAGAATTGAGCATCCCAGAGTGGAGCCTGTGTCTAAAATTGTACTGGCTCCCACTCTCTTGAGTGTCGCGGGATTGGCTGGCTGTCACTGGCAAGGATCACGTGCACTTACACAGGGCACGGCCAGCAGCACTGTCTGCTGGGGGCACGGGAGCATGCCACTCTCCTCCTCCTGCCATCAGGAAAGCCTGGCTGGTTTGGGAAGTCACCCTACTCCTGCTTGGGTGGTGGTGTGTTGACGGGGGAGGGGGAGGGTGACCAGGAACCATCTGGGGAGACAATTGACCCCTTTCTGTGATTGCAGCCTCTCTGGATGCCCTATTGCTGCAGCGGAGAAGCTGGCAAAGGCCCAAGAAAAGCACCAGAGCTGTGATGTGTCCAAGTCCAGCCAGGCCTCAGACCGCGTGCTAAGGTACCCAGCTCAGAGTGTGCCCTTTCGTGAGCTTGTCCGCAGGCAGCCCCACAGGCCAGGCTCAGAACTGCAGGAGCAATGGTCACTCTCAGTGGTGGGAGTGAAGCTAAAGCACACTGTGCCAGGAGCGAGACCCAGGGTCCCCCGCCCCATGCGGGGCCAGTGAGGGCAGGAAGGGACTTCACCTCCCTGGTCTCCGTGACTGATTGTAAGTTTTTCCATGAGCAAAGAGGACGGGATTGTGCCTGGTTTTCTCTCCAATAGCTTGTGTTGTGACTGCTGGGTGGCGGAGCTTTACCAAGCAGTGAGACAGACGCCCGCAGTAGGTCTATCTCAAGTCTCTGAGAGGCCTCGGCACCAGCCTGCAGGGCGTGTCAGTGTTTCTGACAGCATCAGAGTGACAGGACCTCCACTTTGCGCAGACGTGGAAGCTTTTTGGTGGGAGCCTCTGGGCTGCCCTCTCCTCTCCTCCTGTCCTCAGAAACCCAGTACAGAGAGGGGACATGACTGACCTGCCCCAAAACTTCATCCCTGGCGATAAACTGGGAAGGACCTCAGACACCATCAGATTCAACCCAGCTGTTTAAGTTTAGAAAACTGAAGAGGGGAGGAAGAGACCACACTCTCCTAACCTCATGTCAGCTTGCATTTCTGCACGGGGCACCCTGCTGATCACTATACGTTAGGCCTTCTTAGCTCCCAGCACACCTGAGGCCAGTATCACAGTGGGGGTCTTAACAGGGATGTGTGTTCCACCGTGGGAAGGGGTCAGCATTGCCAGAGCTGGGCTCTGCCTCAGAGCCAGTGAGGGTGACCCCACTCTTGCTGTTAAAGAGAGAAATGAGCCCCCTCAACACACACACTCACAGTCTTGCTCTGTTAACTTGTTCTCAGACAGATCACATGGATACGATCAGCTTTGTGGTTCTGTTGTGTATAGTTCACAGTTTACTGAAAGGGTTTTACTATAGTCCTTCAACCCCCCGTCCCTCAAAAGCAAAAAAATCTTTACAGAAAGTGAGAAATATTTAAATAGACAAAAATAAGGAAAACTGTCTATGGTCCCAGCATGCAGAGAGACCCCTCAGAATGCAACTTGGGTGTGCATTTTCTAGATTGTTCGGGGCAGGGGTATTACAGTCTAACCTCCCCAGGATGCTTTCACTCTCACCTCACAGAAAGTAAGACTGACTGCAAATAAATGATGAGACCTCCCTGAGGGCCCACCCCCAGCTCACTGTTATTGGCAGCTGAGAACCCCAAAAAAGTAACCCTCAGGCTGTGTACATCTGAGAAGGGATGGCTGCTAGCCAGGGGAGGTTTTGGGGATTGGTAGAAAGAGAATGAGGTGAGGGCTCCTGTTAATATCCTTTGCCTACTGTGGCCAGACCCCATCCCACACTCGTCCTGAAAGCCCACCAGGTGATCAGCCTCTCCCATCAGCCGCGAGCCTGCATTCCAGCATGACGCTCTGGGGGCAGCTTGAGATGGACAAGACTCGTCCGTCATTGCCAACGTCCCCTTGTTCAGACCTAAGCCTTCATTCTACCACGAGCCTGAAACAGCGGCTTTTACCTCTTTTCTGTGGCTTCTTAGCTGCCCGGTGTCAACAACTGTGCATCTACAAACAGCTTTCCTTATGGGCCCAGTGGGTGTAGGGAGGTAGGGTGTTAGCACAGCAACAGGCTGGTGTAGCCAGGCCGTGGGTGGTGGCCTCTGAGGACCGCTGCCCTCCTGCCCCACACGTGGCAGGTGCTGGAGCCCCAGCTACGAGCGAGGCAGGAACCTGGTCTCCACCCCCATCACCCTGTGCCCGTCTCCGCGGTGTCTCCGCCCAGGGGACACTCAGCAGGGTGAGGACAGGGACAGGAGGAAAGGAAAAAGAGTTTAAACCCAGAATCACTTAACTAATCACGACTTTTTTAAGTCTAAGTAAATTTCCCAGCAGGAATTTAAGAACTGAGTAAGGATGTCCAGTCCTGTCCTATTTTTCACCTCCTCTGCAGCGCCCAGGCCCTGGCCCATCCTGCCTCCACTGTCACCAGGAATGGCCTCCTTGCCGAGCCTCTGCCCCATGCTCCCTTCCTCTCAGGGCCCTTAGTGACCTTCTGAGGGCACAGGGTTGCCCCTTCCCCAGCGCAGCCCCTCCCCTGTGGCCTTGCTCACGGGGTGTGTGAACAGACTCCCAGTCTGACCCACCTTCGACTTCATGGTTCTCTTCCTGGAACGCCTTTGTAAGCCACCCTGGGTCTCACCCTTAATGATCTTACCCATTCTGTAAAGCCGGCTCCAACCTCTCATTAAAATGGAACTGAATCTCATAGCTGGAAGGGGCCTCTCTTCCCCAGAATCCCAGCAGCACTTGGGCTCTTAAAATATCACACACACAAAATGTCGCAGTCCAAGTGACCTTTGAGGCAGAGCTGGGGGTTAGTCATTTATGCAGCTAACCCCCCCCACCCCAACTACCTGGTAAATGCCTCAAATAATGGACATTTAGCTCATCACTACCTTCTTTTGTTGATTTTACAAGCAAATAAGCTAAGTTCATGAAATCAAAGTAAGTGCCTGGGTGACTTGGTAGATTAAGGTATTAGCAGGAGGGGAAGTTGAGTGAAGGGCACAACTTTTCTGTAAGTCTTAACTTCCAAAAAGAGCTTAAAAATTCCACCTATGAGATAGATAACTAGCTGAAAACACACACAAACACAAAACAAAGTAGAATCTTAAATAATGAATAGTAATCGAAGCCTCCTCCATTTAAATAATTTATTCCAAAATCTAGAAAAATGAATGACTCCTAGGTAAAAGTATTGGAAGCGCATGTTGATAGCTTTTGGAATAGTTACTGTGTGTTCCGCTTTATGGGCCAGATGTGTAAACTTGTATCTAGTTTCACCTCAGCCTCTGTCCCTTTCATTTCCTGTTGTTTTCGAGGGAAAAATACCTCCTTAGCTCTCTGCGTTTGAGTGTGATTCTTGCTCTACACAGAAGAAAGCGCATGGACTTGAGATTCTTGTCCTCACTCCTGTCTCCCCACCAGGCCCACCAGGACCCTGAAAAGAGAAAGAAAGGGGGGTGCTGCATAGTGCAGTGTGGTGTTCCCCTTGTCAGAGCTGATGGCAGGCAGCTAGCTGAGGTGCTGCGCAACGCCTGGGCCCTGGTCTCCTCTCGGGAAGTAGACGTGGCTTCAGTGCGAGGTCGTGAGCCCTGATGCAGCTGGGAAATGAGGCTCTGGTTTAGCGTGAGCCCTGTCCTCCCCCCACCACGAGAAAGCCAGCTGTCGATTGTTTCTTGTTTGCTTACAGGCCAATGTGCTTTGTAAAGCAGCTCGAGATCCCTCACTACGGCTACAGAAACAACGTCCCCACGACCACACCACGCTCCAACCTGGCCAAAGAGCTGGAGAAGTATTCCAAGACTTCATTTGAATACAACAGTTACGACAGCCATGCTTACGGCAAGCGGGCCATAGCTCCCAAGGTGCAAACCAGGGACATATCCCCCAAAGGATATGATGGTAGGAGGTGCACACTCTTATACATGAGAGTCACGCTTGCCGTTATGATGTTGTTGTTGTGTATATCCATTCCCTACCGGCCGGTCGAGCATGTGGTCACTTGCTGGGTACCAAAGAACAGCACGCGCCTGAGGTCCACAGGGGTGGGGGGCAGGGACCTGGAGGACTTGGGCAGGGAGCCGCAGCTCATCTGCTTCATGCTGTCGTTAAGACCCTGCCCTCATCTTCATAAAGGTCCTTTAATAGATGGCCCAACATAGGTAACTGGACAGCCAGTAGCGGCAGCCCCAGGTGCTTGGCTGTGTTGAGGTCTGCATCCCCCCACCCCCCACCCCGTGTTCTCAGCCCTGGGTGTGCACTAGAGTTGTCTGGGGGAGATTTAAAAGTCTAATGCTCAGGTTGCGCCCCACACTTTTCACACCAGAATCCCAGGTGTTCCCTGTGTGGCGCATTCTCAAAGTCACGTGCAGCTGAGGGTGGATGACCTCCACCGGTGTCCCCCAGACCCTCCAGCTGGTGCAGACCCTGATCTATTCCCCCACTGAGAGTGGATGCTGGGAGTGCCACTTGCTGTGACATGGCTTTGTCATTGGCTACACTCATAGCCCCCATCGCACCCACCAATAGAGTAGAACCAATGAAACCAGCAGAACTCTGCGTGCTTTACAGGAGAGGACAGTCCCTTTCCACCCATGGGTGCTTGAGCCCCACCAGGGGTGTGACTAGTTTCATTTTATCGTGGTTAGTGCTTGAATGACAGAAGGAGGGCCGAGTTTCTTTGATTTTACTTATTTATCGATTCTACTTTAAACCCTACGATATATGGAATTAGTTGGCAAATGTTACTGATTGGGGTGTAGATTGCATAACTTGGATGATTCAGAAGTCTTACCTTGGTGCCTCTAGCAGAGGGAAGGAGACAGGTGTTTACAAATGCTCGAGTACCTCTCTGAAAAAGATAATTAAAATCACAGCACACAAAACACATTTAAACTGAGTGCCTGGTGAGTTCTGAAACCTTTTTACAATTCCATATGAGTAACTTCACCTTTTTCTAAGTTCTGTTACTCATCCTTTGCCTTAATAACAATTAATTTGTGTGGTGAATAGAATTTACTATTTCCTTGATGTACCAAATATTGATTTTCCTTGCATGTGTCAGTTCTTAACATATGGGAGCAAAGATACAAATGGGAAACAGGAAGTGGCTTACAGTATAACAGAAAATAATTATTTTTGTTTTATTTTGTAATAATTTGACAGTTTCAGGTTTTGTTATAATTTCATTCATTTGATTGCAAATGAATGATCAAAAATAGAACTCACAGGAATAAGGGTTCTGTTGGTACCACTTAGTCTTGCGGGGATCCTGTGGGCACTTCGACTAGCTCGTTTTCATAGGTTGCTTATTGCTGCTGTTCTGTGTGGCCTGTTTCCTTGCCCTTGTCGTCATGACTGGGCTGTGGGTGAGGTCGTGGTCTGCAGAGCATGTCTTCGTGCATACAGTGGCCTTAATGGGTTAGAGTCAGACCTGTGTGCTCCCTTCCCAGCTTCCCCATTAGGACTGTGTGATGTTGGACACCTTAGTCTCCTTGTGAGTTCCCTGAGTCGAGAGCAGGTGACCATTTCTGCCCTGCTATTGGGAAGATCAGGGGACAGCTCTAAAGAGGTGGATACACACAGTTAATTATTGGCATCAATTTTCACCTGCCCAGGAAAAATACCTGTTGTCAGAAGCTCTGGCAGAGCGATGCTGTTCTGCTGACCATAAGAAAACAGGACAAAAACTTCAGTATTAGGCCTTCAGTAAACTCTTCTCGCACTAAACATTTGCTGAGAAGAAAATCAGTGACCCCGCTTCTCTTCCACTAGATTGACCTGACAGATTTTTAACATATCAGGGAAAATGCCCGCTAAGGATGAGATGGGCTGGGCTAGTCCTGGTGGGTATGAGCTGGGAGGAGCCACTCCCATTCCTGGGCATCAGGCAGCAAACAGCACAGGATGACTCTGGTCTGCACTCACCCTTCCAAGAGTGTCCCCCAGACTTGCTTCAGGGGCACAAGGAATTCAGTCATCACTCCTAAAGAAGACTTGAGAGGAGCCTGTGGGGGCGCAGTGCTTGGGAGCAGGAGCAGTGCCATGGGGACGCAGGCAGCAGAGAACAGGAGGGCCTTCCCCCGCTGTCTGCATGTCACCCCTTAGATCCCACCTGCTGTGACAGAGCCTCTACCTCAGTCAACCTCCTGCACTCTACAGACAGACACCAGCTGCTGTCTCTGCCCATCTGCCTGTCCATCCATCCATCCATCCATCCATCCATCCATCCATCCATAAATCCATCCATCCACCTACCCACCCATCTACCTACCTGTCTGTCCATACCTTTACCTATCTGTCAGTCTATTCTTTCCCTCTTGACAACAAGCTTCAGGCAAGAGAATGTGAATAAATACAAGGCAGTGAAAGACACACTTGTGCCAGTGAGGTGAGGAATCCATTACGCCTGGAGGAATTAGCGTGAGCTTTACCTAGGTGGCAAGCGTCAGGCATGGTTCATGAAGCCAGGTGGCCATTACAGGAAGTCGGAGCCGTGGGTCAGTGGGGACTCCCAGGGGGCTGGTGGGGCTGCACTTGAAACTTGGGAGAGGAGGGCCAGGGGCCAGGGGTGACTGTGCAGATGGTGAGGACATGGACACGGAAATCCTTGTGTAGGAGATGACAATGGAGGGAATGGTGAGGAGCAGAGGGTTCCCAGATGCAGGGCCTGTCCATTTAGGACTGTGCTTCCATCTTGGGTTTACCTGCAGAAAGCACAGACATGAGCCCACATACAGACTGAGAGACAGGCGATGGATTCGGGTGGCAGAGGCCTTCATCCAATTAGGCCTGAAGGCTGCCACGTCCACCTGGTTGGGACAGATCCTTAGAAGGCACATATTTGAACTGTGTCCCTTTTTGTCTGGTTTTTATGGAAATTCAGACTTATCTATTTTCTACAAGAAAACATTCACGCGTGAGAAAGTGTGCATTCCCAGGAGAGTGAGACTTCTGCCAGCAGAGCTGGTTAACAGTAAGGTTCTAGCCGGAAGATGTTTGCTTTGTTTTTGTTTTATGTAACGTATTTAATCAGTACAAATTTCATATGGCCTTTCTCTTTCCTGCAAGAGCGGGCTGACCACCTGAAGAGGTATTTCTCAGTGTGGTGTGGGACCTGGCTCCCTGCCGATGCTGCCACGTGAAGGCGTGGCCCTGCGGTTACAGCGCTTGTAGCTCTCGTCCTTCCCAGGGATGTGCTCGCACCGAGAAGGACATGAACAATTTCTTTGCTGATTGATTGAAAAACAATTGGATTGAAAACAGTCTTGTTTGCCAAAAAAACACCCAGTGTATTTTGTCGAGATTCACGTGCTCCCATCTGACAAGGTGGGGACTCCCTTGGTGGGGGAGGGGCCAGAGCGCACCTGCCATCCCCACCATCCAGCTCTGTGGCGTCCCCTGGAGTCAGCACCATGTGGCCATAGAGGGCTGACACTGGGGTCTTGTCAGTGTTTTACTGATAATTATTAGGACTGAAGGCCTTCATCACCTGAAGGAGGTGATGTGTAGAGACTCTTATTTCATTTGGAACAAAACAAAAGGGAGGAGGCGTTGGTAAAAAGACACGGCTGGCCACCCAAGCTCCTGCTCCCGCAGCCTGTGAGCTCCAGCCCGCCCCAGGCCCCTCCCAGCATGGTCCAGAGCAGGCTTTAGGCTTAAGAGCTAAGTGAAGTAGATGCCCTTTACTAAGTTTGGCTGCAGTCTGTTGTGCAGACACATGTTGTCCCACCTACTTTTAGAGATTGACTATCACTCATTTCTGAACAAAACTGCTATTTTTCTTGTTTATGTGGACCACATTTTTTTCTGAGCCAGTCACTAGGAAAAAAACAAAAAAACCTATAAGTATTATTTTATTTCCCCAGAATTTTTATACTTGTTTTTCTAACATGTGTGGGTGATGAAAAACCACAAACTAGTTCCTACAAGGGCACCTCAGGCTGCGAGTTGGCATTGCCGCCTCGGTGTGCTTTCCGGCAGGTCCCTGGGGCAGCCTCCAAGGACAGTCTCTCAGCTCCCTCTGGACTGCTCCCCGTGCCTGCCCTCTGGGCTCAGACCGGAGCCCTGCTGCTGCCCTGTGCCCTGTGCCTCTGAGAAAGGCCACATTTGTGGGGGACAGAAGGAGGGGGACGACGTGGCTGGCACACCAGGAGCCTGGACACTGGTTCTCAGGGCTGAGCTAATTTGAGAGCAGAGTAGAAGTAACTCGTCTGCAAGTTACTCGTGCTCGTGGGCTTAAGTGTGGAACCAGCCCCCTGGTCCGTGCAGGGGAACCTGGCCCTGAAGGTTAGCTGCTCGTGGGGTGGCTTTGTGGCTTTGTCGGGCTGTGCGACAAGGTCGGGTGGCTGACCGCATCGCCATGTAGCCAGGTGGGAGCAGTGAACCTCGTCCACAGTGTCAGGAGGGCATGGCTTCAGTGTCAAGTCGAAGATTGCTGATGACAGGAGCTTGCTTCTTTTCCCGTTTGTGCCTGAATGAGGCATTTTGGGGTAGTTTCTTGGTGTTGCTCATAGCGAGCAACCTGTTAGCTCTGTGAGAACTCTCCCTTCGTTTCATTTAGGCTTCTTCTTCCCATGGGGAAAGCACTGTGCAGGTCTTCCTCGGGTGCTCTGGGCACAGACCCGCTAGTGACAACTTGGGGACAACCGTGAGAGCAGGGTCAGGCTGCAGGCCCCCTCCCTGCTGTCAGAAGAGATGCGTGTGGATGTGAAGGGCTTGCCCTTTGGTACCAGGCACCATAGCACAGCTGGGCCCCGCACGTATCCCCACACCATGTCCGCTGCTCCTCGTGCCCACGCAGGGGAGCCCCTGAACTCGCTTTGGGAAAGTGTGAGAGACATCGTGTGCCCCGTAACAGGGTGGCCCTCTGGAGTGTTCAGGACACCACGAGGAGAATGTTTTCTGGTGTCTGTGGAGCACTCCAGGTTCACCTTGGAGTAATGCTCACTGGCAGGCTCCAGGAGAGAGGTCTGAGTCATGTGGTTTTAGTGACCTGGCAGTGATACTGGGCCCAGGCTAATAACCCTCCATCAGATGTTCCCATCCACATGCTGAAGGGACTTCACACAGCTCTGAAAAGCATGCTGTTCCCAGGAGCCGGTCTGGCTGGTAGTGAGCTGGCTGTTCAGAAAGGCCTCTTGTCAGTGACCCTCTGTGCCCGACTTGGGAGGCCAGCTATTCCTGTGAAGAGGGCATGTCTGCATGTCCCTGAGCGGCACTCTGCTGAGTGTTCATCTCAGGCTTCCCCAGGTCCACAGGGTGCGTGCCCCCTTGGCCGTCCCCTTTCGCCTGCTGGCCCTGTGTGACAGTCCCAGGGTGACTCTTCTTGGGGAAGGGGTGTTTCAGCCACACAGTCTGGTCTGCACACCCAGCCTGAATGCCACCTCCCAAAGCCCAGGTCCCACAGGCCTCACAGGTGGCCCAGGCACAAGACAGTGAACCCCATGGGCTGCCACAGCCCCTCCTGGTGGGAACGGCCAGCCTCTGGAAGGCTGAGCAGTCTGTGGGTCCCTGTCGCCAGTGAGCTGATGAGTAGCCCTGCCAGGGAGGCTGCCTTCTGGGCCTCAGCCGGGCTGGGCTGCCCAGTCACTGCCAACTCCCTGGTGGCTGAACCCCAAGCAGGTGTGAGCCCACCGCGTACCATGCCAGTGCCACTGTGGGAGGGACAAGGCACTGTGTCTCCACTGTCCCAACTCTGCTCAGTCGGCCACACGCGCAGGCCCCAGGAGGCAGGCCCGGTGCTGTCTCCCTGTGAGTCGGCCGTTGGCCTCGTGCCCTCGTAGGATGTGTGTCTACGCGCAGCGCGGGGGCGGGACGGGTGGCAGGGCGCCGTGGCTCAGCGGGTACCCGCGTCACCCTGCCCGTGTCTCCCCAGCGAAGCGGTACTGCAAGGACGTCAGCCCCAGCAGCAGTACTGCCAGCAGCTACGCGCCCAGCAGCAGCAGCAACCTGAGCTGTGGCGGCGGCGGCAGCAGTGCCAGCAGCACCTGCAGCAAGAGCAGCTTTGACTATACGCACGACATGGAGGCTGCCCACATGGCCGCCACTGCCATCCTGAACCTGTCCACGCGCTGCCGGGAGATGCCGCAGAACCTGTCCACCAAGCCGCAGGACCTGTGTGCCACTCGGGTATGCCGCCTGGCTGGGCCCACCTGGCAGAGCTAGCGGGGCAGGGCCAGCACGCCCCCTGAGCCACCCTGGCCACCTCGGGACATAGGGCAGCAGCTGCGCAGACGACGCTGTCTCACTGAGCATCCTCGCTAGTTGAAGGACTCGCGGCTCTGCAGAGAGGAGCTTGAGCAGCAGGTGGTCCAGAACTGGCCAGGCCTCTGAGATCGCCGTGCGTCAGTGACCATGTCCTCTCTCAGACTCCTTTCTGTAAACAAAGGGCACCAGGAACCTAAAGAAGCAATATGCTTTGAACTTAAATACAAGGACAGTTGTCAAATAAAAGACAGGACTGTCCCCTTCTGTGCTCCCAACAGGTCACCCAGAACGAGGGAACAAAGCAAGTACAAATCCAATTTCCACAGGGGCTAGTCGGGCAGCTACAGTGGCTTTTATCAGCTCAGAAAATGCCAGTCTTTGTGGTGGTTTTATCATTTTGATTTTCTTGTCCACGACTCATAGCTTATGCCGAGATCAGGAGAGCTGGTTAGGTGGCAGCCCAGAGAGCTGCCTGGTGAGGCCACTAGGTGGCCAGGGACACAGGCAGTATTCTCAGAGGACATGTGAGCAGCAGATGTGGTGTCACCTCCTCTCCAGAAAACAGGGTGTCTGCATTACCTGGGGCTGCTGGACCACACACCACGGCTCACACCTGACAATAGTTGTTGTAAATAAGGGTAATTTGTATGAAGGGAGAAAGGTCAGCAATTTCATGTTCTGCAAATGCATTTTTTCTATTAGTATTTTAATTCCTAGATTTGGGGGAAGGATCAGGGACATGCAATTTCCATGGTGACCGGGGCTGCTAAACACGAGGCTGCCGTGGAGGAGGTTCTATAACTGGAAAGAAGAATAGACCGTGACCCCTTCCTATTCTTTTCACTTTATTAAAATTAAACTAAGAGAATTCAGTCCAACATTGTGAAGGCTATATTAGTGTGAATGCTTGAAATCGGGAGTGCACTTGGACAAAAAGAGCTAAGGCAGAATAATATTCTATAATTTATCAAGGTAACAGCCCAGCGGATGGGGTCTTGTTCCAGGCATCTTTCCTCTGCTGTTACTTCCAAGAAAGGAGCTGCCAGATGTGTGAGGCAGCAGTGTCCATGCCAGCTCTGAATACCACTTCTGCGTAACTCAGGGCCGTGGGACATTCTGACTTCCTTCCTCTCTCCTTCACACACCCTTCCTTTGCCCCCTTCTCCCGAGATGCAAGTCTGAAGATCTCTTGATCTGTTTCAAAGCATCTTTTAAGCAAGGCACTCGCCCTGGAGCTCTCGGTTGTTTTAGGCAGTTGGCTACAGTGCAGGTTTGCTAGCCTTGGAGCAGGTCAGACCTTAGTCGTGGCCAAGGGCACTTTGAAGTGCGTGATGCACAGCTTCCTGCCTTTAGTAGAAAACTCCCCGCCCTGGGATTTCGGATTAGAAAGTAAGTCCTCGATCGTCCTCCCTGCATCCCTCCCACTCTTGTTTTCTCCCTCTCTAAGGCTAGAGCTGTTTAGCAGCAATGAAACCAAAGGGGAATGTTTGAGTTACATCCATTTTAAGAGTGCATAATTTTGAGGATAACATATATTCTGTACCATACACACCCCTTAGAATTCTGATCTCTTGCTGGATGTTTGAAGCGGGATGGAATCTAAATTAGGCACGTGTTTGGTGTTCTTCAGGCCATTTCCAGAAGCAGAGGCGGACTCAGGGAGGGAGGTGTAGATCGATATTAGATGTGACCATTAGAGGAAGGACAAGGGTAGGCAGGTAAGTGGTAGATAGGTGAACAGATGGCGCAGTTGATAGGTAGATACATGGATAGATGATGGATGGACAGACGGATGATAGATCAGCCGACGGAGAGTGCAGGCGCGCATGTCCCTGTGGAGCCTGGGGCTATGTAAATGGGACTGGGAGAGAGGTTTCTCACAAGCGCTCTGTGGGGCTGGGGGTGGGCTGTGTCTGGGGCCAGAACCGCGTGCTTACTTGCCTTTCTGCCAACAGAACCCTGACATGGAGGTGGACGAGAATGGCACGCTGGACCTGAGCATGAACAAGCAGAGGCCGAGGGAGGGCTGCTGCCCGGCCCTGACCCCGCTGGAGCCCATGTCCCCCCAGCAGCAGGCCGTGATGAACAGCCGGTGTTTCCAGCTGGGCGAAGGGGACTGCTGGGACTTGCCCGTAGACTACACCAAAATGAAGGCCCGAAGGGTAGACGGGGACGACCCCAAAGGGATCTCTGTGCGTCCTGTTCCGTGAGCCCACTCGGTCCTCTGGAGCCCACAGCCGGCTCCCTCGGGGGACACCGGCCTCTGTAGACAGGACCTCTAGCTAGTGAGACTTCCGAATACACTTTTTGTTGACACAGGAAGGATTTGTGACCAGCATTGATTTGGTGAAACAAACCATTTAATTTTTTTTTTTTTTAATTTTAATGTTTTTATTGATTTCAGAGAGAGGAAAGGAGAGAGAGGGAGAGAAACATCGATGATGAGAGAGTCATTGATTGGCTGCCTCCAGCATGCCCCCCACTGGGGATCGAGCCCCAACCATGTGCCCCCACCGGGAATCGAACCTCAATCTCCTGGATCCTAGGTTGATGCTCAGCGTCTGAGCCACACCAGCCGGGCACCATTGACTCTTTTAAACAACGAGTTTTGTGTTCTAAGCAGTGTGTTTTCTTGCAACAGTTTCTCTAAAAAACATGTCAGCAGCTCAGCAGCTCGTTTTCCTCGTGATGTTGCCGTCACGCAGGACTTCCCTGCCGCAGAGAATCAGACTGAGAGTCTCCAGTCTGTATCGGCACCTGCGTGCTTGTAGCTCTTTGAAGCTAAAGGCAGTGCCTGTTCTCTACGGACCCTGAGGTGCTCGGCATGTACTGCAGCCTGAATGAGTCCTGCAGCGCAGTCACTTCAGTCTTTATATTTGCCAACATTGCACTATTACCAAAACGCCTATGTCAAGAACCTGTTTTCAAATTCAGGTTATTCAAATAGCTGTGATGCCCTCTGGGCTAAGGGAAGAAACGTGTTTGTTATTGGGCTTTTTCCTCCAGTGTTCAATCCCGAAAATTGTGACATCTTCTCTGTCCACTGAGAAAGGAAAGGTCTTGAGCACAGTGTGGAGACCACCATCAGAGCAATAGCATCTCATAGAAACGGGGTGGTGGGGAACGGGAGCCTCGCTGTCGGTAGGCGTTGTTTCTGAGGCCTTTCCATCCTCAAAGCCCATTGTCTGGACTCTTGTCTGAAAACTGGCAGGACAGACCATGGGAGCTGAAGTCCAGAGCGCTTTTCTCTGCTTGCGTGTTAAACCGTGAGGACCACGTAAGGCGTGGTGGTTGATCTCCGAGTTTATCTTAGTGAATATTAAGCCCTCGTAAGTGGACAGGAGTTTTTGGGTCATGCAGACTGTCCAGGAGTGAAAACGGCCCTGTGCTCAGGAGCCACGTTTGCTCGACACTGCCATCTGTTGGTGTTCCCTGCTCACTGCAGCTGGGCCCGTGTCCTATAAAGAAGCTGCAAAGGAAAGGTTGAAATCTGCAGCTCGGAGTTGGTGCCCCTTCCTTGGGGCTGGGGGGCCCAGGTAGTGTAGCCAGTGCTGATCGCTAAAACTGCATGCACTCTGAGATCGTTAGCACGGCGCCGAAGCTGTGCAGGCAGCATTGGGATGAAGCGGCCTGTGGAGCTCCCTTGATTCTAGGAGTTTAGAGCAGTTGAGATACTAAGGGCCAGCCCAGGAGAGAGATACTTTGAGCAAATTTCAGTTTGCATTTTCAGAAGGGCCCCATCAGGACAAAGAGGTATCGCGATTTTAAAGGTAAAGTTGGGAGACTTGAGAAATGAGAGGCAGCCACCCCAGCTGGGGACGGGCCTTTGGTCTGTGTATGGAATTATCGTCTCTGTGGCCCTGAAGCTGTGTTTCGCCTGCAGCCGGAAGACTTGGATCCCTTCCAGGAAGCTCTGGAAGAAAGAAGGTACCCGGGGGAGGTGACCATCCCGAGCCCCAAGCCCAAGTACCCCCAGTGCAAGGAGAGCAAAAAGGACCTAATAACGTAAGCATGACGTGAGGTGCACTATTCCTGTTAGCATTCCCTCTCTTTGGCTTACTTTTAAAAACCGACCTGCATATGCCTTGCCGTTTGAGCATGCGACATTCGCAGCATAAGTGTCTCAAGCTGCCAGGTCAGCAGAGCGCCACGCCACGCGGCCTCGGTGTGTCCGGCGCTCTGTGCCGCGGAGACACCATCTTCATCCAACCGCGCATCCCGCAGCTTCTCCAGGGCGCTAACCCCTTGCAGACATTGCAGCTAAACTGGAAACAATGAAACTTTTTATAAGTTTTTTTTAAACATACTTACTATTTTGGCTGTTTTTGTTTTTGTTTGGTGGCAGATGTCCAACACCCAGGTGTGATGGGAGTGGTCATGTGACTGGTAATTACGCCTCACATAGAAGGTGTGACTTCATTTTCCTCATGGTGGATTCTGTCTTTCAATTTATTGTTTTCAGCTTACCTCAACAATGCTGTCAGAGTGACCACGTCGGCCCGTGTGGCCCGGAAGTGCTCTATGTTGGCCTGCAAAGCGTACTGACTGGTGTGTGGTGTAATGCGCTTTACTTGAAAATAAATTACCTAAATTGGGAAAATTCTTTACAAACATTTAAACCAAAGAGCGCAAATATTTTTATCTTTTTAAAAGTGGTTTAACAGACCTGTTTTCTTAAATTGACATGTCATCATGTGCAGAGTTCATGATAAAAATGCAGCATACAGCACTTGCCCCATCGCTTTTCTGCATTGAATTTAATTTCAATTGTGTGTTGTGTTTGTTTGGAGTGTCAGCTGGTTGGAGGGCTACTCACGACTCTCTGGCCTGTCTTACAGTCTGTCGGGCTGCCCACTGGCTGACAAGAGCATCCGGAGCATGCTGGCCACCAGCTCTCAGGAACTCAAGTAAGACTTAACAAAAGCCATTCTTCTTTAAAACCTACCCCCTCAGTGGCAGCAGGAAGGGTGTGTCGTTGGAAAAGAAAGGTGCCTTCCAGACCCCCTGCCCACAGTGGTGCATGGGTGGGTCCTCGGGGTTGGAGTCGTTTTTCCGAATAATCCATTCTGCTGCTCCCCTCGTTTATCTCGAGTTCTTTTGTGTCATATCCTTTCTGCCTTGAATTTTCTGAAGCATAGTATAATCTCTGCAGTGTGCATCTGCGTGGAAGGAGATTTCACAGAGTTGCTCAGACTTTTAAGAAAAGATCGTAACTTCAGAAGTCAAAAATTGATGTTTTACTGCTGATGAGAGTCAGTAGTTAATATGACAGTTGAACACATGGCTGTTTCATTAGCACTGACAGAAAGCTACCAGGATAACAGCCACTTCCTCGGGTGCCCAGTGGTCCTGGTTACCGACACTCGAGGACATGAGAGCTCACAGCTCACGGATCCATGCAGCCAGGCCTTCACACACATGCATCCTTCTAACTTGGATCTCAGTCTCCTCAATGTCCATAATTTTTCTTTATTTTAAGCACAAGCCTGGTCGCCTGCATTTATACCTCCAGACTAAGGCGTTGCTCCTTAAATACATGTGGTGAACCATGTTCGTTCCCAGGCAGGCTGTGGGTGATGTCAGTGCAGGTTGTAGGAAGTGCACCAAGCCTTCAGTGTGCTGGTTGGAGTGGACATTTGGGGGAATGGAAGGAACACGATGGTTCCACAGCATGAGAACCACGGGCCCAGTAGCTGTTGTAAATGTTGTCGTGGTGCATTGCTGGGCTTCCTTGTTTGGAAGTGGCTTTGTTACTGATGTAGAGAAAGTGCTGTGTGCAGACCCTCTGATTCCTTCCCCAGGGACCCGAGCCCCGTGCCCTTGCGCAGACCCGGCTGTCAGAAGGTGGGGCTCTGTTTCACACCTGTCGTCTCTTACAGGCTCCCTGCCCAGGGCCCTGGTGCCATAGACTACCTGCTCATGTTCAGTGATCTCCTGAGCTAGCCCTCCGGTGCCAGACTGTTCGAGTCTTCATACGTGTAAATGCCCGAGGGCACCCTCTTACTTAACACCACGCCATGCCTCGTGGACAGGTAGCTCTTAGAGCCTCAGGTGGACAGAATTAGCAAGAACAACTCAGCCCACTTGGCTGTGGGCTCTCTTTTCATGGCTTGAAACTACTTTCCTCACGGCCAAAGCATGGTCACTGCCCTTGGACCTTGGCCAGCACATCAGAGCATGGCAGCTTTCCTCTGGCTTTATGACAAGGATCCTTTGCAAACGCCTGGCCTGCCTCCTGTTCCCACAGGCCAGCTGTAACCAGGAAAATGGCTGTCGCTTAACTTGCATCTACTATCACATCTAGCTGTTAGTGTCTCCAGACTGACACCAGAGTAGTTTTCTACGGGTCTGGCTTGCATCCTTGATTTTGGGCTTAGATGTTTCTGTGGATCTGGAGTCCTGAGCAGACCTGTCCTCTCCGCCTGCTTCATCTTGGAAGGTGGTGTGGTCCCCGCCATCAGCACCTTCCCCCATCTGCCTCTTCCTGGAGGGGCCTTACCTTCCAGGGGATGGTGCCTTTTCCTAATTCTGGCTGATCTAAAACCACACTTATTTCTAACTTGTCTTTGTAGCAAGAAAATCTCTTTTCCATCGACCCTTTCTTGGAAATCTATATGTGACCAGTCTTCTGAAGTGTTTATGTTCATTACTGGATCTCCTTCCAGTAGAGATTTCACCTAAACATGTCCAATAAAAGTATACTACTTAAATGAGCAGTTTTTACTTGATGTCTTTTCAAACCGGGGAATCATAGGTTATATTTTCCTTTCACCTTAGTTGGTGACACCCCCCCATCCGTTACCCCTATCTGAGTCACAGGCTCCTGGATTCGTCCCTTGAAGATTCTGCAGCTTTCCCTGGAGTGAGTCTCGCGTGGGCTCTTACCTGTAGCTTCCTCTTAAAGCTTCGGTCCATCCCCGCAGCGGCAGCCTCCTCCCTGGTGAGAAGAGTGAAGGGCACTGTTGCTGTGCGCTGTGGCTGCCGCCACTCTTCATGGAGACGTAGCAGAGAGTGGGCCCCAGTCTCCTCAGAAGTACTTCTCCGTACACACCTGCTAAGAAGTGAAATTTTCTGGAAATGTTCCTCTTGTCATGTCTAACACTGACTTTAAACTAGTTGGCCACTAACAGGACACTCTTGATCTTTGACTGACAGCAGATTTTGCCAGATAAACTTTGGGTCTCAGGTCCTCAAACCTCTTAAACACCCCGAGGTGGCACCTAGCTTGGTTCTTGCCCAGAGCCGCACATTGAGGATATTCTGAAAAAGAAGTCGGTAATTTCACATAATGATGTATGACATGTGAGCCAAGTGCATATTAGAATTTGATGTGTATACCTGAGGACATTCAGACTCTGGAGCTGCTGCTTGCCAGCTCCTAGTCTGTCTGATGGAGAAAGCCCAGTTCAGTGGTTCCGGGGAGGTGCAGTGACCCTCCCAGAAGGCAGGGGAGCACCTCCCAGGTCAGGAAGCCCCCCGGACGCGCAGGCCTGTCCCCTCCACACTTGGTGTGCTGCACACTGCCTCCACACTGTGCAGCTCTGGCTGCGGCTCACTGAGACCCCGGCCAAGGAAAGATGAAATTGTTCAAAGTAAAGGGATTTTTTCCCCCTGGTGAAAATACTGCTTAATGTGATCTCTGGTTCCAGAGGGAAGATTCTTCTTTTAAAATTTCACCTGCTCAGATCACCTGAAAGTCGTGACATGAAAGAACTTGCAGGCCACATGACATCACTGTCAGCCTTTTTTAAAGAAACTGCACCCCCCCCCCC